ACCTCGCACCCCGGGGCGGTTCCCAGGAGGGGCCCACACTGCCCCCCGCCCAGGGCAGCCCAGGCGGTCTGTCCTCTCTTCTTTCCGACGCGCCCAGGACCCAGGGGCACCCACCACACACAGGACCGGTCCCTGTGTCTAACCGCGTCCTAGGACCGGAAGTGTCTCCAGCCCGAGGTCTCAGTACCCCCCACACTGCACCAGCCGAGGTCCTTTCCCACGGGGTCCTGGTCCTGGGGTGTCCCTCTGGCCCACTTGCCCCATCCTCCCAGCTCCTCTGAGAAGCCGCCTTCGGCCTCCCGGGCACCAGTGCAGGGCTGTCCTGGTCCCGAGGGAAGAAGCCAGTGGGCCTGCCCCCAGCCCTTCCCCTCTGATCCTCCCTGCTGAGCCCCTTCCCTTCCCTCCACTCTGCCCCCTCTTTAAAAAATACATTTTTATTGATTTCGGAGAGGAAGGGAGAGGGAGAGGGAGAGGGAAAGAGAGGTAGAAACATCAATGATGAGAATCATTGATCAGCTGCCTCTGCCTCCTGCACGCCTCCCACTGGGGATGGAGCCCACAACCAGGCCTGTGCCCTGACCTGGAATTGACGCGGGACCTCCTGGTTCCTAGGTTGGTGCCGGGCACCCACTCTGCCCTCACACTCCCGGCCCCCTGCCTCTGGCAGAGGCTCCTCTGGTCCTAGGAAAACAGGGCCCTAACCTTCGGCCACATGGGCCCTTTGCGGGCAGCGCCCCCACACTGGGAGCTTGTGTGACTCCCCCTTCCACCCCTCCTATCTCCACCGCCATCTCCCTAAAAGCAGGGACGTTCTGCCCCAAACGCTCTGGGTCTGTCTGCACTCTCGTTCTTGGGGTCACAGCCATGACCCCTATACTGAACAGCCCCCCTATGCCCAGGGGACCCCGAGCTGCTCTCAGGCTTAGAGCCGAGGGCAGGCGTGTCCTCTCTGCCACCTAGAATCGGATCTCCCACCTCCAGAGTCCAGGCCGCCCATCACTGCCATGGTCACCGTCACAGCACACCTGCCCGCCATGTCCCCCGGGGGTCCCCTCCCGTCCACTCCCCTCCCCTCCACGGCAGCAACACGTCCGTCTTCAACCCACACAGTCAAACCCCGTCCTGCGCAAAGCCTGGCATCACAGGCCAGAGGAACGAGTCCCCGGGGGGCATCAGGGCCCACCCCCAGGCCCTGCCCTCAGGCTGGGCACAACCCTGAGAGCCCCCGTGCCTCCAGAGGCCAAACTGGGGCCCCGGCGCCTGGGTGAGACCCCAGAGGGCGCCGAGGCCGGAGCCCTGCGCCTTCCCTGGGGTCAGGGGGGGCCCCTCCTGGAAGGCCCAGCAGGACTGCGCCAGAGGAGGGGCTGGGCACTGAGCTTGACCTTCGGGGTGTCTGCCTGGAGGAGGGGCCTGGGAGGCGCAGGGGCATCTCTGGGTCCCGGTCCGGGGGAGGCCACCTCCAGACCAGCTCTGGGGAAG